CCTCCTTCCTGCAGCAGAGTATCTACTTCTGGTTCAGCCTCGGGCGGGGGGGGGGGTGTCAAACTGCTTACCAATCACATCCAGGTTCTGCTTGGTGTGTTTGGCATAGATGCTGTTGATCTGTTTCTTCAGTTTGAGAATTTCTTCAGCTTGGATGGCAATGTCTGTAGCTTGGCCCTGGAAGCAGAGGCAGATAGAAAATGTACATGGCTGCCTGCTAATGCATTTTAAGCATCACTGAGGGCTAGAGGTATGTGAGGGATGGATATGATCTCATTCATGCACCTGCCCACCCCCATTCCTAACTTCATGCAATCAGTGCAGGTCAGAATCACAATGGCTACATGGGAATATACAGACATCTCTGGTAGGAAGCAGCAAGGCCAAACTTACCCGGGCCCCACCTGAGGGCTGATGGATCATGATGCGGGAGTTGGGCAGGGAGTGGCGCATGCCTGGTGATCCTGCAGCCAGCAGCAAAGAGCCCATGCTAGCTGCCTGTCCCACACACCATGTGCAAATAGGGTTCAGGATGTACTGCATGGTGTCATAAATAGCTAATCCTGATGTCACTGCACCACCTACAGGAAGAACCAAGTTTATTCCACTATTGTGACTCTCAGATATGGATAGAACAACCTTAGTAACCTAAATTTTCCAAAAAAAAAACCCCTAAGCATTTTTAAGGACAGCTAAGAAGGTTTACAAACAGAATGAAGGAAAGCATAGTAAGGAGAGGTACAGTGACAATTGGGGCAGTAAACGCTTGCCTTGGAACATTACAGCTGGGTATGTACAACATACGAGGCTGCAATGAGGTTAGCTAGTTTATGGCTTGTGCGTGTTCTACAAAACCAGCTAGAGTAGTTAATGTATGGTATGGTATAGCTGCTATTACAACTTTGGGGAGCTACGGCCTGTACACAGAATGCTGAGCACCACCAATCTTAACTTCACAATTTTTCTGCAGTGAGAGTTCCGCGCTCTAGAGCAGAACAAGAAACGAGGATCACAGACAAATCACCTGTTTCAATTGGAACACAGCAGACTAGAAACAGAAATATTGGGGAAGCACTTTTTAAAGAAACAGGGAGGGACTCAAGAAACCAAAACAGATCACAGTTGTTTGTGTTTCCATCACAGAGCTCACTGCCACACTGGAGAACCTTCATAAAACTTATATTCCGTGTCCACTAGAGTGGCCTTCCCCAACCTGGCAGTCTCCAAATGGATTGCTCCAAGTCTCTACATCCCAGCCAGTATAACCAATGGTGCCTGAGATACAATAATAGTTGTAATTCAGCACACCTGGAGGGCATCATGTTAGGGAAGGCTGGACTAAAAAATGGAAGAGGAGAAATAGCCATGGGAAAAGGAAGAGATGCCTCAGCAGCAAGGAAAAATGTGGCCTTAGAATAAGGAAAGCAGCCAACTCTAGGTATTTGAGCAAAACAAGATACAGGCAGGTGGAGTTGCTAGCAAGGAGAGAATGTACGCCTGTGTAGCTCCTTCATTTTGGCTACCACTCACCTGGGCTGTTTATGTACATGTGGATGGGCTTCTTATTGCTTTCTGACTGCAGGAAAAGCAGCTGTGCAATGACCAAGCTTGCAATACCATCATCAATCTGTAAAGAGAACACACAAAGCAATGGATAACATTAGGGAAAGCCCATGCTGAAGGAAGGCCCCTTGCTAACATGAATAGTAAATTCAATTCCCCAGCCTTTTTGCTTTCTTTGAGGTGGTCAGCCCAAAGTCAGAGAGAGAATCTCACCAGCTCAGTCCCTCTAAAGAGAGAGACGCTGGCTTCAAGATGATGGCCCAGATCTGGGGCTCCAAAGGCACACATGGTTTAAAATGCAAGGGACTAGGAAAAAAAGTCAATAATTGGAAATCAATTATCTAAAGGAAAGCCAATACTACCTGTACTCAGAGCTTTAAAAGAGAGAGAGAGAGAAAGAATTTAACATTATGGTCAAAAAGTACTCCAAATCCTGCACTACATTTGAATATGCAGAACTCGTTTGCCTATTTTCTCATGTCTGCATAATTTCATCTGGATTTGCTAGTCATGGAGCAGCCTAAGACCTGCCTTTTGGTATGAGGAAGCTTCCCCAAGTTACTTTTCTGGCTACTGAGATTTCAGCAGGCATCACCCACACATTTTTCATGTATGGTTAATAGAAATTTATTCTTCAGTAGAAAATAAACAAGGTCCCCAAAATATTGGACAGTCTGATCTTGTTGCCCTCTCTGGAAGTAGTTCATGCACTTACCGGGCCCATCACACAGACAATGCGCTCTCTCAGAAGGCGAGAGTAGATGTCATAGGCTCGCTCACCACGGCCCTGAAACAGACCAAAGGTCAGAAGAATTACACTCCAGATCCAGTGGTGGAGAAGAGTCCTGATATCCTGCAAAGAGGACTCAGACACTGCCTAAAAAGAAAAGTGTTTACTGGTGCTCAGTTTAACTCTGAGGCAAGATTATTCATGCAGAACCATATTAAGCAGCCCTGAAAGGTATCAATAGAACTATGTATTAGAGCTCTGAAGTACAAAGGAAGGAGTTAAAAGAAGGTTGTTGTTGTTGTTTAGTCGTTAAGTCGTGTCCGACTCTTCGTGACCCCACTCCCAGTCCAACCCTTTAGCCGTTATAACACATTGGCTCTCGGTTGTTTTTTTGATGG